AGACTGGTGCACACAACCCCAGACACACACACAATTTGGAAGAAAGATCCGGAAGTTGTCCGACAATCTTGTTCCAAGGCGAATAGCAAAATACGGCAGTAGTCACTTAGAGGAAGATCTCAAAGTCAGGCTCCGTAACTTTAATGTTGGTGACATGGTTTACGCCCTGGATTTCAGAGTCTGAAGGGGTGCTCGAGCGAAACTGTTATCGGCAGGAAAGGCAGAGTCATCTACGAGGTGATGGTTGGAGGTGAGAGGTGGATTATGCACATCAATCAGTTAAGGCCGAAACGTGGCAATACCTAAGATCTCAACGAATCACCAGCCTTGCATTGGAACATTCTACTAGACACGTTCGGTTTGGAAGTTGAGGGTCAGTAACCTGGTGAGACAAAACAAATGCCGCAAACATTAGATGCACACTACAGGCCGGCTCGGAATCGGAGAAGACCACAACGGCTGTAAATCGATCCTCGGGCGTAAAGCTATGAACACAAACAGGTTCGAAGCGATTGCAATATGACTCAAATCGGCATAGTGGTGACAGTGCGGTGAGAAAGCTGATGGCCAATGCGCACCTGTTCGCTACAAATCGTACTTGGGACAGACTCTGCGAGCGTGTTGACAGAGCCCAGCCGAAAGCTGATGAAATCGCACAGCAGATACCATGCTTGTTGCCAAGGTGTTACCGGAAGCTGATGAAATTGCACGTCAGACATCATGTGCGTTGTCATGCCTCGGGTAGGTGGATGAAGACTGGCGTGCCTGAGCATGATGGCGAATTGACCGAAAGGTGCGGACAATGAGGTGTGAAGCGTAGGCTTACAGCCAACTCCGCCAGGCGTTGTTTAGAGGATTGGTGAGACAGGCATATAAGTATGAGCGTTCTCGGTCCCAATACAACTCTGGTCTGCTGAGTCTTCTTCTGTCTTCCTTCCTGTCGGGTTGGCCTAGGCGTTCGACAGAGCAGGCGTAATGACGCAGATTTACCAGCAGGCGTGAATCAACCGGTCAATTGCTGGTACAGCGTTATAACACCACAAAATATCGGTATTTCGTTTTGTATGATGCTAGCATACTCCAACAACCCTCCTTCTGTACGCTCTTATTGTGATGCACATTTGGTAGTCCGTTCCTATTTGCTGGAATCTAGTACAGCCAGAATGAAGCCGTTCCAATGAGCCCTCCCCTAAGGCCAGTTCTTTCTGACATCTTTCTTTCTAATCTTGAACGCGGGTCTATTCAGCCTGTTATACCTGTGCTTGATTCATATTGACGATACATGATCGACACATTTATTGTCTGTGACTCAAGTGTCAATGTTGCTGTCAGCTAGATGAGTTCAAAATGTGAACATCCGTAGTTGGACATCGACAGGGAAATTGAAAGCGATGGTAAGGCAGCTTTCCTTGAAATATTGCTAGAGAGGAGAGCATGGTTCGCTTGAGAGAAGTGTCTTCCGGAAAGCTACGAATGCCGGCCAATATACGCACATGCTGACTTTCGTACCTTAGAAATACAAGAGGAATTTAATTTGCTGCCTGCATCATCGTACTGTCAAAATTTGTAGCCCGGAGACACTGGCACAAAGAAATCGTTATCATAACAATGTTACTAGAGATTGATTACCCTTTCTTCTTCCTTACAACGTATGCCACTTTCTCTGTGAGCCAGCAAAGTGATATGACTGTTTATAAAAGGGATATCTTTATCAAGGTGCGTTTCAAAGGGATGTCCCCTACAATTTACTGATCGGAATACTACCGACTGTCGTAGCCAGTGTCATCGAGCAGCTTACACTCATGTTGGTGCAAAGACTACCGCGCTTATTACCCAACGACTTAAAGACAACAGACTTCCGGTCCAATCCAAATCGTATATTCTATAGCAATACACTCTCTCCTGTGGTGCAAGGTACACTGGACATACAATCAGGCGTTTTGCAAAACAGACAGCTGAGCACTGCCCGTTGTAATTGCGAAAAAGCTTTGTCGGAGCCTCTAACAGCACCATCATGGAGTGCTTGTTTCACAGGGGACATGAAATGCGACCAGCTGGCGCATTCAAAACTTTCTACACTGCGGCAAACAGGTACCCTAAATCGCTTAGAAAACGCCTCTCTAGGACGGTTGAGGCAGTTGTCATCAGGTTGAAGTAGCTGGAGTCTTGCAAACGAAAGGCACTTGTACAAACGCTTTTCTTGTCATGGCCACGCGGCAAACCCTCAGTGTCAGGCAGTGGCGGCGGCCAAGTGTAATCCGCATCACCCCGTTGGCTGTCATAAGGCCTGTCTTCAATTTATCCATCAAACAATCGATGGAACATAGTAGCATTGTTCAAATGCTCCCGAGCCACGTAATTTTGGTCCAGCCTTCATTGGCTTACTGCGTTGCGTGGTTTTTACATTCTTATAACTGTATTTATCTAAAGAAAAGTATTGAAAAGTGATCTTATCGCAATCTTGAGCTAATAGAGTGTCCTCAGCAGAATCCAGACTGCAAAATGTACAGCAGTTATATGCTGTAAATGGAACTGGCTCTCTAGAGAGGCCGTACTGAGACAGCAGTCATCTGACTCACAACTGGTCACCACCTAGAGAGCTGCGATCAGGTTTGAGTTAAAGCAAAACGGTCGATACTCCATTCAATCCGTCCGCAATCATCACCGACCGAACTCAGGAACAAAATTTACATACGTTTTATTCTGTATATATGTCACTGGCTCTCTAGGGAGGATGATCAGTGGCAGCAGTCAGGTGAGGTGCAAACAGCAACCAAGTGGGTAGCGATCAGGTGTAAGTCAAAGTAATTGATCGATTGTCCAATCGTTCCGTCCGCAATATGGGTATGGGGCGATGGGCGGATTCACAGCGCGGAAGTAGATGAAGGCGAGAGTGATTATCAACGCTCTAGTTTGCCCTGTGTTAATATGTCAGTGGATGAGTATCCGCAGTCTCTGATATCGAAAATATACTAAAGGACAACAAAGTGGGCTGGGATTAATAGGGATTTGGATGAGTGTGCTGGAGTCGTTCCATGTAGCATTTTGCAACAGGTGCTCAAGACGAAGTACGGAAGCGAAAAGTGGTATGATCGAAGAGGTGAAACGCCCGAGACTCATTCTCACCAATTCCAACCAGATGCAACACAGTAATTAATGAATTCCCTTATTGTTTCGTGTAGATTACGACAGATACTCAAAACAAACTGCAGAAGTGAGCAGCGACATGCCCGAAGGGATGAAGCGTCTGCGATACATTCCCGTCTATTCCAGTCAGATGCAACACAGTAATTAACTCCCTTGACTTGATATGTCATCGGCCTCAGATACTTTGATGCGTCTCGTCGATTACACCACATTCTGCCTTCCGTTTATTCATGTTGTTATCACTGTCAGTCGGTTTGCATTCAGCTTTTACGCTACGGATTTTTACTGATACGGTATCTGTTGCGCAACCTCAAAACCAACAGGCGTCTGCACCGTGTACCGGCCATTACTTCAGCCGCTGAATGGGAAAAGTCGTCGCAATGCACTCATCGTGACCAAAAATGTTACTTTGGCTGCAAGGCAATTGTCTTGCACGAGGTCTATGGTGTAACGTTAATGCTACCGGCCGAGTTCAGCTAAGAGAAATGAGAGCATAATTATTCGCATTTCGTCATCAGATCTGTGGATATTGTGGTACTGCGGAGCTTCTGCGAACTTCCTCAGCCGCGCAGCTAGAGGAAAAATTGTACCTGGATAGCACAGAACCAAGCTCCAAACTGCATCAGCTAATCCTAGCCACATACTCTCCTATAATCTTAGTCACAAGTGCCATTCTCCGATGGAACGAATGGGAGATATAGCAGAATAGAAAACAGTAATGTGTCATCATGGTATCAAATGTCCAGGGAAATGCATATCCTGAGACCCGCTTCGCAAATAAATCCGGATAGGACTGTGGCTAGTGTGAAAATAACTATCCGAGGCTACAAGTCCAAGTAAAGTTATCATCATTTTTCAACAAAATCCGAAACACTGTCCACTCACTCAACTCATTCGATCGTTTGAACGATAAGTCCAACAAGTTGGTGCCTACGGTTACGACTAATTGGCAAAACACATTGCACTGATCGCTGGGTTCCAAGTACGAATCTCAAAAACACGTCTTTAGTTGACCTTCGTCTGGGCACTCTGGTGGTCTGCTTCATCGGTTGAGTTGAGGCTACCCAAAATTCAGGTATCCGGATTGCTTCCTGTATCCATATTTCGACTTTCTTTTCGCCATTAATTGTGCAGTTTGGCTGAATTCAGCTGAGGACATCAAGCATTTGATTTGCATGACCAACATGGTACGATTCGTAACTTCTTGAAACTGTGTTTAACTTCAGTCCATCTTAGGCTCCAGCAACTTTTCAGAAGAATCCATCTGTTTGTGGTTGGTTACGGTTTCAACCATTCGCATGTGTTAGCGCTCAACTCATTCGATTCCAACAACCATGATTAACAAGTGTTACTAAATCTGGCTACACATGATTGGACCCGAAATGTGGGACCACATTTTGCATCACTTAGGTGCCCAACATCAGGGAATATTCTACGAATGTTTGTGTCGGTACTGACTACAGGTGATATCAATCACTGCAACAGATAACTGCTTGAACTACGAAACCAAATGCTGTGTCTGGATTGGTCGTCTGTTGTCACATCAGCCCATTGACCTCCAGGGTGAGGGCTTGGGCGGTCGTTGATCTAACCAAACCTCCAATATTTATAAGTGACCTGAAATAGTTCCGCGAGCAAACGAAATTTGGTTGAGATGGGAAGCAATTTACATCACTTACATTTGTGTTTCATAGCCTTCTTGCTGCAGATTACTTTTCGAATTCTATATGGTAAATACTTTACATCCAGTGATCGAACGTCACTGGCATGTTGTAATACGGACTTGATTAATTGAACTGTTGATTTAGATATTCCATCCCAGTATCAACAACTGCTGTTTTCTGCTCCTCTAGTGGGGGATCGGTTGGACCGCTGGAGACGATCGTGAACTATCTGACGCATACTTCTGGTCTGAGACCGACGACGGCCCACCTGACTTATATTACAGGCCAGTGGCGCCAGCATCCCTCGTCGACTATTCATGGAACATGCTGCTGAGGATATCGCAGCATTGGACTGTTCATCAACTCATGTTTTTATATGGGATCACTTTGTGTTTCATTGGCTTACCAATAATTTTTATCATTTATTCTATTGGCAAGCTTATTCTGTCCTTTTCACAGAGAAACACAATGAGAAGTTCAGTGGGAAGTTTTGTCTCAGAGTAATAAGTAAGGAATTCAAAACCACCCCTTCCTATCGATTTTTTTAGTGATCGCATTAACCGCTGTTGATGCTCGGTAACAATTTACTCGCTGTATTCACTTTGTGTACTTAATATACTGGTTTCGATATTATACCAAATTTTGCAGGTAATGTGGAACTTAGTTTATTGCTTACAATGTTCCCGAATACTGGTAGTTTTGGTTAACGATTTAGTAGCAAGATTGCGTGCTGTATTTCACTGCACTTATGGTGCCGCCTTTCGTGGTTGTGAAACATTGGAGGCCAATATATCAAGCTGGAAGTACATATGAACAACTTATTGCCTTGTGGCTTCTCAAACTCCTTCGATAAGTTGCAAGGTATTGGATCCCCCTTGCAATAGGTAACTAGTGCCTGGGATGCGGGTGTACCTAACTTAACTGCTGAGTAACGGAGTGAAGCCCACTTTCAAAGGGCCAATACTGGTTCGCAGCACTGTACTCATCGACTGATTCCTTACTTGTTCTACTGGTCAGATAAAGATAAACAACACCAGGTCTAAGAATGCAGAGTCTGTGGCTAACAGCTTATGTGATCGCATCGAGAGGACAAGGTTTCTCACAGTGGTGAATGCTCGACAAGCGTTGTCCGTAATGAATCTGGGGCTAACAGGTATAGGTTTCGTAATACATAGCAGATGTCCCCGGTTTGAATGCGTGCTACCTGTATCTGTTAAGCTCAAACCACTTCGAAAGCGGTCTGAGAGTGCGATGTTTTGGGGTGGGCGAAATTCAAAAGCCCACCACTAGTTTCCATGTCTTCCATAGGTAGAGGTCGCAGCGGCCTCAAACAAGGTAAACTGCATCAACATTATATCATTCTAACCGGAGGTATGATACGCATACATGATGAAGACGCATCACGCTTCGCCGTTTTACGGCACAGTAAAGGGCACATATATTGGGGACTACAAAACACCATATGGTTCGCCATTAGCAATAGATTTAACTAAATAAATTGTATATTCTTCGACGATGCGAGAAGCTGTTCCCTAGAATGAACAGATCAAATAATGCTACAAACTTTCCAAGTCATTGCATTAATACTTTTTCAGAAATAAACATGGGCACAATTTCAAATTAGGTAACACAAACTAATCAGAATCGTTCTGCTATTTTTTGCCTGTCATTGAACCAGGATTCTTCACAATCACATGCCAGTTGTTTGGGCCGAGAAATGAAATGTAAGGGGCTGTTGTCTGAAATGTTATGTGTGTGTGTTTCGGAATTTTATTGACACATCAATGACGTTTTGGACGGATAATGGCTTACTAATCGCAAGCTTAAAATTGGAAAGTGTATAGCATTTTCTGATATCACTCGGAAGTTTGTCTCAAATTTTGAGTAGTGAGTTAGAAGGAACCGTTCTCTGATACTCGTAGTAAATTTAGGAATCATGACATACTCTTCTTTGTTACGGATTGGATATCTGCTGTTTAAATAAATGTGAACACCGTTATCAAAACTGCGAATTTGACGGTTTATGATTCTGTAAAGAAAACATAGGTTCAGCTTCATTCTCCGAAGCCAGACAGGGTTAAATTCAAGTTTATCACCGCTCCCTGTATGTCAAGTTTCAGGAATATCCACATAGCTTTTACGTGAAGCGTCTCTGGACCCTCACAAGACCATGCTGCTCAGATTTCAGCAGATTACACTGGACCACAGAACAGTAGTTCATACACGGCAATACATGTGTTTTATAAAGCGATATGCGAGATTCCGTGAGATAAGAATGATGGCAGATGTCACCGATGGTCTTCATGGCTTTGGAAAATTGAAAGTCACAACGTTCGAAAAAGTTAAAGGTGACTGAATATCGCACGGCCAAGTCGCGAACTGCCCTACATTGCGAGGTATATGAGCCTTTTTAGTAATAAACTGTCTGGCGGTACTTGGCATTTGTACGAAAAAATATTACACTTGCTCACGGCAAATGACATCTGCCACAGTTGGCACCAGGAGTCAATGGCTGATAGGTTATCCTGAATGAGACGTATGGCTTCCTGGGTATTTGCACGTGGTTGTGCCTAGACGACTTTAATGTCCTCAGCAAAGATAAAGGTCACACCATTACTTATTCTCTGGAATATATCGTTAATATATAATAGGAAAACAAGAGGATCAAGAACACTCACTTGATTCACTCCACTGGCGCTTGCTTTCGGTTTAGAGGAATGGTCGCCGATGCGCACCACCTGCTGTCTACCAATTAGAGTTGAAGACAGCCAAGAGAACATCGGTTCTCCAATGCCGATGGCCTTCAGTTTGTTCAGTAACCTTCTGCGAGGCACTCTGTCAAAGTCTGTTTGCATATCCAGGACCAGGACTACAACACTGTTTCCGTTGTCAATGGCAGCCGTTGCGTGGTTTCAAAATTCTGACTGGCATGTAGTGCAATGTCGACCTTGCATGAAGCCGTGCTGCGAAGTGCTGCTGATGATCGACTTGTTCAAGAATGTGCATAGTTCCTCTTTCACTATCCTTTTTATTCTTCTAGATACGATGGGTGTGTGCGATTGATGGGACGAAAGATTTTAACCTCGTGGGCGGCGCCATTTTTGTGTCGCGGGATAACGACAGAAGTTTTCCATTGAGTAAGGTATACTCCGTTGTTAAAAGAGAATGTAAAGATGTTGAGCAAACGTAGAAGGAAGTCAATACCACTGCTTTTTATTAAACAAGAGGGGATTCCATCAGTGCTTGCGCAAGTTGAGGAACATAAGTGAGAGACTTGCCCAGTGATTTTTGCTATAGTGAATTCCACTGTGCATGGACTTTCATTGTTGTGCGGCATGAGAAGAGCTGGTGTGTCTCTTAGTTCATTGACCATTGCTTCTGCAAAATAAGCATTGAAAGCTTCACAGATATCACCTGATGCGTCCTAGTTTGTCCCATCAGGCGTGGTGATAAAATGGAAATTGTTTCCGAAATGCGAACCCCGGGCACGGAATAGGTTGGCTAGCTCAGCGGTTTTGTTTGGACCGTTCAGAGCTTTATACTCTTCTAGAATGAGAGTTTTGTCATTTTGGTGCTCCTGTTCTTCGACGAGTTTGGACTGCTGTAATAACAGCTCAAAGTCAGCAGTTAACCTGAATGTCTACCGAACTGTGTTAGAAACACAGGGGTTTCAAGTCTTGTGTCTGGACCTAGGCTAGAAATGGTTGAAAAAGCACGTGTATTGCCAACGGTGGAAAATGGTTTAGCGGAGAGGGTTACGACTGAATGTAGCCCTCTAGAAGATGGTCCGAGGAAATGAGTTCATGATTGTTGTACTAGGTTGTGGGAGCAGGAGAGTTAAGCTTTGTCCTTTGCAACATACCACTAATACACTGTTGATTATGTGACGCATTGATAGGAGTCAGTAGGTAGATGTCATTTCCATCCATGGGTAAAATCCGCTTACTTGCGCTCGATATACAAGGCTTCACGATAGGCGGTGGCGGCACACTGGTGTCAATCCATACACCATCATCAGTATAATCCGTGTGGTTCCTTGATGGAATCGGAAACTCATGGCACGTCTATATCTGTATGACCAATGGATTTACGTCTATCCAAACAAAATGACGATAAATAATCGACCAATAACGCTTGCAATATATTTACGTAAACCATCCTTTTACCATCGATCAATTTGACAGGATCCATCGATATTCTCGATGTGCTTGGACACTGGCCAGAGCAGACTTTAGGCGGGACATGACAGTTCGTGGCTTGAGGTAGCAACTTCGCATGCAATTGGACTTTAGGAGATAATGTAGTTGTTATTCGGTCATTCAAATTGCCGTCATTTCGCATGCAGGAAATATAATTAGGAAATCCTATATGACTGCTAGAACTGATCATCCAAGAGGAAGCACAATCCATATCACTAATTTTGTGGACAGTATTCGTTTTGGGCTTGGTTGGCTTATCATGCTTATCCGTGAAACTGCGGACTGGTGGTCCTCCAGTAACCAGTTTGGCATCTGACGTTCATCTTAACTCCAAGGTGCCTGAATGAGGTGTTTTACCGGACACACCATCTACTGTAATAGAGCGGCCCGCATATTCATAGGATTCATTGTTAATTTCACAAGTTACTTTATTATTCATCGCTTCGCCCTTATTTGCCACAGGCGAAGTATTATTCTCAAATTTGTGGTCGCCACTAAGTGGAGCAATATCGATCGGATGCGGGCGCCAGGCGACTATTTGGTATTCTGGTTCACCACAGACTTTCGCCTCCTTAACTCTCATTGTAGCGGGGTATTTTTCTCCACAAATTTTAGACGTTTGAAAATCGTATTAAGCACAAGGAGATTGCACTTTTGCATGAATTGTTTAGCAATAAGTTCATTTTGAAGCTGGAAACGTATGGGACGCGCGTAACCTATTACATTTTTGCGTAGTCTGATGCAGCTGGACCAACAAGATTGCATACCACTTACAGTGAGAAACACTTTCCGAACAATTTGTATGGCAAAGTGTGTGGTGCATTAAAAACCCCCACATTGCGTTAATAGCGTATTTGGTTGCATACTTCCCTCGAAATGGAGTGTATCGGTACGCTGCAGAGAGTTAGCCTGACTTCATTGTTGTGAAATGGGAAGCAGTAGATTAGCCGCTGTCCAGAAATAGCATGTTTCGATGCTAAGTGCAAAGTTGCGCACTAATTCGAATATCATGGAGACACCGCGTGGATGTAAAATCTCTGGCATCGTACTCTAATCGAGTTTACTGACATACCTCTCACCACACACACGTGCGTTTACATTCATTTGATCAATCTTCATCAGGGCTTTTTAGTGCATTCCATCTCTCGGATATACATTGTTTGGATCATCTGTAAGTTTAACATGGCGGTTTTTACACATTTCACGCTTAAAAGGATTCAAGGAATTTTCCGAACCCCAGACCACAAAGCAATAGTTGTGGTCTCAAACGAAAGCCAACTCAGAGATCCATACGACTATCCTTTAACCACGGCTGTCGGCCATCAAGTGAAGTAGCTATCCAAAATTTTGTGTCCACATCGCTTACTCGCTTTATTTAAATCCCAGCGCTTATTGAGCAAACCGTCCATCCGCTCCAACCTAATCTGCCGGCCATGGGAGCACCAAACACGTTGTTCCTGAAACT